GAATACTTGATTACAGAATTGAATTAAGGAGAATTTCTTCCCTTTCAATTTCACTGAAGAACTTGAGGAGTATTTGCATTAAATCTTCTCTGAATTTCTTGTAGAATTCAGCTGTGAATCCATCAGGATCTGGGCTGTTCTTTGTTGGTAGGTTTTTAATCACATTTTCAATTTCAAGAATTTATATTGTGTTATTCAGAATTTTTATATCTTCTTGATTCAGCTGTGGTAATTCATACATATCTAGGCGTCTGTCCATTTCTTCTGTGTTTTCCATGCTGTGAGAGTAAAGATTTTCAAAGTAGATATTGGTGATCTTCTGAATTTCTAAAGGCTCTATAGTGATTTCACCCTTTTCATTCTTATTGTAGGGATTTGAGGTTTTTCTTTCCTTTTTTGATAGGGTTGGCTAAGGGTTTATCAATTTTATTTATTCTTTTAAAGAACCAACTCTTTGATTCATTAATTCTTTGTATTGTTTTCTTAGTTTCAGTTGCATTAATTTCTGCTCTGATCTTTATAATTTCCTCCATTCTTTAGGCTTTGGGCTTGATTTGGTGTTCTTTTTCTAGAAGTTTGAGGTGCAGTATAAGGTTGTTTATTTGTGTTTGTTCTGTTTTCCTGATGTGGGGATCCACTGCTATAAATTTCCCTCTGAGGACTGCTCTCATTGAGTCTCACAAGTTCCGGTAGTTTGTATCTGCATTTTTGATTGATTGTAAATATTGTTTCATTTCTTCTGTGACCCATTGGTGTTCAAGAGAGTGTTAATTTCCATGTGTTTATGGAGCTTTTGCAATTTCTTTTGTCAATAGTTTCCAATTTCATGCACTCTGGTGAGATAATATGCATGAGATAACTTCAGTTCTTTTGCATTTACTTAAGCATGTTCTATGGGCTCCTATATGGTGCATTTCAGAGAATGGCCCATGTGCAGCTGAAAAGAATTTGTTTTCTGATATTGTTGGGTGGAATACTGTGTAAAAATCTACTAAGTCTATTTGTTCACCAATTTGGCTCAGTTCTGATATTTTTTTGCTGATTTTTATCTAGTTGATCTATTTCTTTGTAACATTGGGGTTTTAAAGTCCCCCGTTTCGACTGTGTAATTGTTTACTTCATTTTTCACATGTGTTAAAATTTGTTTAATATAGTTGAGTCCTCCCATATTTGGTGCCTATGTATTTAAGATTGTTATCTCTTCCTCTTGCAGTTTTCCCCTAAGAAGTATGTAGTGACCTTCCTTATCTCTTTTGATCATTCTTGGTTTTATGCTTATGTTGTCTGCCAACAGAATAGGTACTCCTGCTTTTTTTCTGGGCTCCTGTTGGATGGAGTATTATTTTCCATCCTTTGGCTTTCAGTCTATGAATTTCCTTTTGAGTTAAATTGTTTCTTGTATACAGCATATTGTTGGATTTTGTTTCTTGATCCACTCTGCCAGTCTGTCTTTTAATTGGTGAGTTGAGGCCACTTACAGGAATGGTTATAACTAATATATATTCATTTTTATTTGTCATGTTATTTGCCTGCTGTTGGTTCCATAATAGTCCCTTCTGTTTAATTGGTTGTCCTACATGGTGGTTTTTTTCTATGGTTGTTCTTGAAATAGTGGTCATTTTTCCTCTCTAGAATATCTTTCAGTACTCTCTGTAGGGTTGGTTTGGTGGTCATGAATTTCTTTAGTTTTTTTGTCCTGGAAGTATCTTATTTCTCCATTAATTTTGAAAGATAGTTTTGCAGGGCACATCAATCTTGGTGGGAAGTTGTTTTCTTTTTCAGGACCTGAAATACTTCACTCCAAGCTCTTCCGGAATGATGATTTGTGTTGAGAAATCTGCCATGATTCTGATAGGCTTTCCTTTATAGGTGATCTGTTTCTTTTCTCTAACAGCTTTTAATATTGTGTTCTTGGGCTGAATTTCTGAGATCTTGATTATTCGGGCTGGGGATTTAACTCAGTGGCACAGTGCCTGCCTGGCAAGCACAAGGTCATGAGTTCAATCCCAAAAAAAAAAAAAAAAAAAAAAAAGTCCTTCTTGATTATTATAGGTCTGGGTATAGATTTATTTTGGTTATGTTTCGTTGGGGTTCTATATACCTGGCTTTTCTGTATGTCAGATTCTTTACTCCTGTTTGAGAAATGTTTCATTATTACCTCTGCAAATGGTCTTTTTATGTCATTCGTGTTGACTCCTAAATTTTCATTAACACCTGTCAGTCTTATATTGTTTTTCTTTGCATCATCTTGTAGCTGTTGAATTGCTATTTCCTGGTTTCTTGTTATTTTTAAGCAGTCTTTCCTTTCATGATTGTTAGCTGCAGTGCTGTCTTTGAGGTCTGAAAATCTATCTTCAGTTTTGCTCGAGTGGTTTTTCCAGCTTTCAATGGAATTTTTAATTTCCTGGATATCTCTTTGAATCTGTTTCATGCATCTAAATTCTTTTCTATATTGTTTATTCAAGGTTTCCATGAGTTTTCTATGCTCTTCTATTTTTTTATCTATGTCTTCTTTAAATATGCTGAGCAATTCTTTCATTATGGTTGTCATTTCTTTTTTTTACCTGAAAGATTATTTCTGATCTGATTTCTTCTATAGCCTGACAGAGTCATTTCTTTACTTCAGTTGCTATCATTTCAGATTAGATGTGTGACTTCTAATTTCTCTTATGTCAATGTCTCCTTAAGTTGTTCTGTGTGGGCTGGAGGTCTGAGATTGCATTTTGCTCCTTTGTTTTCACATCTTCTATTTCAAAGAAATTTTTTTATTTTGTTTGCTATGGTAATCCTTGTGAGTTCTGGGAGTACATGGCTATATCACTAATATCGAGGTCTCTCCAGGAATAGTATGTACTTCAGGGATGTCTTCTGTGTGTAGGAAATTCTTGGTTTGTGTCTGTCCCAAGATCCTACCTTCAAAATTAATTGTGAGTGAGATGTTGGTTTATTTTTCTCAGCCCCAAGTTTTTTGGTATATGGCTGTGGTGAGATTATTACTGCAGAGCTTCCCAATGTTGTTACACTAGAGAGAACAACAGGTTACAACAGATATGACATCCTACCTATGGTAGTACAAATAGTAATAAGCACAATTTAGAAACTGAACAACTCTGGTAACTACTGATTGTATACTTTGGACCATAGACGCAAAGTCTTTACTATATTATAGGACCCATAGTTAATTAGGAGTTAGTGTGCAAAGTGTTTCCCCTTGTTAGATTCAATTTATCTTGGGTTCCTCCAGACAAGATAGTTGCTGTGTCCCAAGCACTTCCCATGCTGGCTGCCCAATCCATAGTGTAGGAGTATGGGCCAGGCACCAGGCTTCCTCTGGACCAAGGCTCCCTGGATAGCAGGCAGGTGGTGGGTGGCATTTCTTCCCTCCTAAATGTCCCACTGATACTCCCAAGGCTCACTGGCCCTTGTGCAATGGTGGGAAGATTTAGGAGAGAGTTTCTCCCCTCCCAAGCAGGTCACTAAAACTCTCCACACTCACCAAGGCTTTTGATGAGTCCTGTGATGGTGAAGGGTAGGGTGAAGTTTCTCCCATCCTGAGAAGGTCACTGAAGCTACTGACTCTCACTGAGGCTCACCATTACTCCTGCAATGAAAGGGGCCAGGGGTCAGTGTTCCTCCCCTCCAGAGCAGCTCACTGAATCTCCCAAGGTTCAAGATCATTCTTGGGATGGGACAGGGGTGCAAGCAGAGTTTCTTCCCTTCTGAGCAGCTCCCTGAAGCTCCTGAGGCTCAGCAAGGCTCATGATTGTTCCTGTGATGGGAGGGGGGGGCAAATTTTCTCCCCTCCGAAGCAGCTCACTCATCCTTTTTGATTTTTGAAGCATTTGTCTGTAATTTTATTCAGATTATGGATCAATGTCATCGAAATTAAAGATATGCTTCCACCCAAGTTGCCAACTGGTCACAATGATGTTAAAATTGGTTTTATAAATATAACGAGGGACATCTTGGTCTTTGTCTGCGGGTTGGTGTGGCGTCTTGGTACACATGGCGTGAAAATAGGAGGGCCATTTCCTTGTGCATCTCTGGAAAGTACACCTTTCTCAACCGTCAGCTGGCCCAGGGGCCCCAGAGGGCTCCTCCTGTATTCTAGAACAGTACTTTGGCCATAGCAATAGCTGTTTAATGCTGTGTCATTTTCCCCAGTAGCAGGTTTTTATAGAGACCGAAATGGATACAATCTTCCATTGAAGAAGACAAACTGGATGGTGGAGAAGCAAATGGAAAGAGTCTGTCTAGAATAATCCTGAGAAGATAATGAGCAGATAAAGAGACATCAAGACTTGTGAGGCAAGTTGCATCCTTCTCCAATAAACACCGACAGGAAAAAACAGTGACAATAAGAAAATCAGAAAAATCCTTCCTTTTCTCACAGACCTTATTTCTTTTAAGGCAGTGCCTTTTTGGAATTTTGATTTGTAAAAATAATTTAGGCTTAATTATGAGGAAAGCTGTGCAGAAAAGAATCAGCAATTTTATTAATTTGGAAGTCTTCTGCCAGAGTTTACTCCTTGTGATAATAGCCCCTTAAAGTCAGTGTGGAAATCCCTTTGTACCCTATCTGGTAGCAGAGCATTCCTTATTGGAGAGAAATCCTATGAATTTACTGAATGTGGGTAAACATTTATTCACATGTCTCATTGAACTGAGAAGTCATGCTGAAGAGACACCCTGTGCTTCTAAGGAATATTGAAAAGCCATTAGCTAGATGACATCTCATTGAGCAAGAGAGATTCATGCTGGAGAAAAACCAGTGAATATAGCATACTGTCATTGAATATTAGAATTTTATGTTGGAGAGAAAGCTTTGAGTGTGCTATGTGTGATAAAATTATCTCTCAGACTTTATCACTTATTCTGCATTTGAGAGGTAATACACAGCAAAGCTTTATAAATGTAAGAAATGTGGAAATATCTTCAGCCAAAAGTAAATCCTCATTCATCAGAAACTCCATACTGGAGAGATATCTTGTGAATGTGGGAAAGCTTCCATTCCAATGTCACACTTCAGTCAGCAGAGAAACTGTGGTGGGGAAAGCCCCTTTGCCGATAAGGTATGTGGGAAAATGGTCAGCCACAAATCCAATCTTACTGAGCATAAGTATTTTCATACTAGAGAGAAACCTTTTGAATGCATTGAATGTGGGAAAGCCTTTAGCCAAAAGCAGTATGTCATTAAACATCAGAACACCCATACTGGACAGAAGCTTTTTGAATGTAATGATTGTGGGAAGTCCTTCAGCCAGAAGGAGAACCTCCTTACCCATCAGAAAATTCACACTGGAGAGAAACTTTTTGAGTGCAAAGATTGTGGGAAAACTTTCATACAGAAATCAAACCTCATCAGACACCAGAGAACTCACACCGGAGAGAAGTCATCCATATGTAAACAGTGTGGGAAAATGTTTACTGGCAAATCAACTCTTACTGAGCATGAGAAAATTCATATTGGAGAAAAACCCTTTAAATGTAATGAATGTGGAACAGCTTTTGGCCAGAAGATGTACCTCATAAATCATCAAAACATTCACACTGGAGAGAAATCCTATGAATGTAATGAATGTGGAAAAGTCTTCTCTCAGCGAAGATCACTTATTGTACATGTGAGAATTCATTCAGGTGATAAACCTTATGAATGCAATGTATGTGGAAAAGCTTTCTCTCAGAGTTCTTTTCTCACAGTGCATGTGAGAAGCCATACAGGTGAGAAGCCTTATGGTTGTAATGAATGTGGGAAAGCTTTCTCACAGTTCTCAACCCTAGCCCTGCATTTGAGAATACACACAGGTAAGAAGCCTTATCAATGTAGTGAATGTGGAAAAGCTTTCAGCCAGAAGTCACAGCATATTAGACATCAGAAAATTCATACTCACTAAGACCTGTAAATAGCTTCAAAATGGGAAACATGCACCAGGGATTTGTATCTCTCAGTGCATCAGAAATATTTTGAAGCAAAAAGCATCCCAAGTGAGGTGAACTTTAACAAATGCTAAAACTTTAGAGGACACCAACAGTTCATACTGAAGTAAAAGACACTCATATGGGGCTGGGGATTTAGCTCAGCGGCAAAAGCGCCTGCCTGGCAAGCGCAAGGTCGTGAGTTTGGTTCCTGGTACCGGAGAAAAACCACAAAAAAAAAAAAAAAAAAAGACACTCATATGATGAAAAGACTGCCCAAACAAACAAAAAACTATATCAGAAGTAACACTGACATTCTATGCATTTCTTTAAAATTGAAAACAGAAAATAGAGACCTGTTACTACCCTCAACATAAACCTGGAGACCTTCACCACTATTAAAAAAAAATAAGTTAAAAGTATTACAAAGGAAGAAATAAACACACATAATGTCATCTACAAATAATAAGCCTTTGTGATAGTGATTCAGCAGAGCAGAAGAGATTCCAGAAGGACCTATGCATTCATACGAATTTGGAGTATGAAAGAGATATCATTAGGAGATAAGGAATTATTTGGAGGTAACTTGTTCTGCAAGGGTAGAGAATGGACCATAGATTACACAGAAAAGTAAAACTCACAGTAATTGAAGACAATTATTAAAAGCCAGTATACTAAAAATGTTTATGACCCTGGGAGTAAGAAAGCATTCTTTGTAACAAATTGAAAAATACATAACTAGTTTTACTATGTGTATGCTCAGGAAATACCAAGAATTTCTCTGTGGCTCAATTTCTAGTAGCCAGATATTGGAAACAATTCAAATACCCATCTAGAATAAAATGGAAAGTTCTTATACTGTAATAATACACATACATCTATAAAAGTGAAACAGACAAGAGCCACATGTTCATGGAAGTACCTAAAAAAGTGTGGAGGAAAAACATTGGAGAATGATGCATATAGTACAATGACTTTGTAAACTTGAATTATAAATATTTCCTTGATGAAATTCAACACTTTATATTGCTAATGGATACACATACATATGTAAATATTTTTGAAATCACTTGGAAGTATACAGACGAAACTCTTGAGGGTGGCCTGTGATAGTGGAGAAGGGATGGTAATGAGTATGGGAGGAGGGGGAGGTGAGGGGCTTCATCTTTTTATATAAATATCCATTTCTCTGCAAGTAAATATGTGAAGGTACTCACTAATTCTGCATTGTGCTATATGGATATCTTGTCTTATGTTTTGTACTTTTCTGTATTTTTAAAATTTCACAAAATTAAAAGAATACAGTGATAAAATTCTGTACCTGTAGAAGTCACATTATGATGAATTAATTCCCAATCAAAAAATAAATAAAGAAATATAATAATATTGCTGCTTATACATTATGACTTGAGAATCTCCCACTGATCAAAAACAATGCATTAATTGTTACAATCTTGTTTCATAAGTCATCAAAAATTGTTAAGATAATAAAATAAAAATCCCTTAGGGTGAGGAGAAACTGTAGACCAAGACTCCAGTTGGTAACAAGAAAGCAGCAGTCTGAAACAAAAATTATTCTTGTCAATTAATAGGAGTCCCCAATAATCTCCATAGCCTTATAAGAGACACCCCAAAAGTGTTGTTCAAAATATATTATTGTGGTATGTTTACATTGGTCATCATCAGAACATTAAGTTTCTAAGGATAAGACAATAAGGTTTTCTGATTTAAAGATGCTCTCATAAAAAATTAAGAAAGAAAAGTTTTCTTATGGCTATAAGAATTCTTTGTTGTTACTCTCATGGCATATTAAATGTATTCAAGCCTTTGGATGTACGGGAATTCTAAAATGTTTGAACAATAACATGTACAGATGTACAGGAATTCTAAAATGTTTGAACAATAACATGTACAGATGTACAGGAATTCTAAAATGTTTGAACAATAAATATATGATAAATGTTCAGCATCTCTGGCCATTAAAGAAATTAAAACAACACAGATTTCATCTTACTCCAGAAAGAATGACTATCACCAAGAAATAAGATGAGAACAATTGCTGATGAGGCATTTCATTTCTATATTATTGATGGGAGTGTAAACTTGGATAACTACTATGAAAATCAGTATGGAGGTTCCTTAAATAACTTAGACAAGCAATTCCATTTGACCCAGCTATTCCCAAAAGAGAAAACATCCTATTACTATGATACATGCATACACACAATTATAGCAGCACAATTCACAATTCAAGTGAAATCCTGAAAGCAACAAATGCATCCACCAAGAGATGAAAGGATAAAGAAATGGATAAAGAGAATGTAGTATTTATTCCAGCAGAGTACTACTCTGCCACTAAGAAAGAACTTGCATTATTTGTAGGAAAGTGGATGTACCCTGAGACTATAATGTTAAGTGAAATAAATCAGACACACAAGCTTAAATATTGCATTGTTTCTTACATGAAAAATAAAAAGTTTGAATAAAGAGCAAAATAAAAGGTAGATAAGAATAAATAACTAGGAAAACTTTTTGTATATGGAAAAGAGATGGAGAGGGGATTGAAAATAGAATTATTATGTGTTATGTGCACGTACCAACTTCCCAGGAAGAATGCGGACACTCTGTATTGCAAACCTGCACTAAAAACAGTGTAAGGGAATATATGGTGGAGTTGAGTAGCCTATTTAATTCCTATTTAATTATATTGAATGCAGGAAGAGAGATGTATAGAAATAGCAGGGCCAGAACAGAGTACCCTAAAGAGGTAGCTGTTCTTTGTGTGGAGAGGAGAGGTCCTTGTTGCTAGGCAACTGATATAGAACTTCCTCACATGAAAGACAAAGGGGTGAGGCCTTATGTTTGTCTTTGCTCTGTGTGGTCTGAACTGTACATCTCTGTTTGTTGATAAGGATCATACAAACCAGGTGGAGACAGAAAGGGCAATGAAAAGTACTGTTTCCTTTGCTGGTAAGTCAGCTACTCCTCAAGTTTGGGTCTATGCATAAGTCGGTATCTAGAGAAATGTCTAGGTAAAATAAAATTTCTCAACTTTTATTTTCCTTTTTAAAGATATGAATGATTTGAGCAAGGGTAGAGGGTAGGGTATTGCGAAGAGGGTGTCCAATCATTTGGGTTTTATGGGGACAGACTCTCGGTTTTAAAACTAGGATAGTTCCAGGAAAATCAGGATGAATTAGATGGATACCCTAGTTGCCTGTTAAAATAGAAGATCATAAAAATACTGTGGAGAATGGGTCAGATTGATAGAAATACTCTTCACAAAGGAGTGAGACATACTGTAAAAGACAAAGCAAAGGGTTGGTTACATCTTGAGGAAGGATGACGGCTCCACTGCAACTGTGATGGAGAGTTGTACAGAAGAGACGTAGAGATGGGTGTTGATCCTGACAGGTTTGTAAGGGTGAAAATCCTGGAAACCATGTTTTCTTTGTGAGATTATAGCTATGAAGGAGTAAACGGAATTGCATTGAAGGTGAATTGAAAGATCAGAAGACGTAAAAGCCCTTCTGATGTTCAGATGAATAGTTTACTTGCTAACATCAGCTGAGAGATAAGATTTTTAGTGGAAATTTTTATCAGTCTGATGCCAAAGTCCTTGAAGTTTGTGGGGGACTGGTTGATAAGAAATGGAGTAGTTAGTATACTTAGATGTCGCAGGGTGAATGATTTAGTACAGCTTTTGTGGGCTCCTGAGAACGGGAGGCTGGAGTCTGAACCATAATGTATATGAGGCGTCTGAGAATGGTGTTTCTTGGACAGAGCCCTCATTAAACAGTAATTTGTATCAGAGTGCTTGTTTAATAAGGTGTGTAGATGTACCCAACTTTCCTCAAAGAAGTTGAGGGTAGAGCTTGTCTTCTCTCTCTCCTCTCTCTCCTGTCTCTCCCCTCTTCTCCCTCTCTCTGCCCTCCCCCCTTTGCTTCCTCTCCCCTTCTCCCTTCTTTTCTCTTTTTCTGCTTCCATCTTTCACTCTTCCCAACCCCCTGTCTCTCTCCTCCCTCTCCCGCTCCCCTGCCCCACTCTGCTATGAAAAAGGAAGTTTTGTGGAGGTGGAGGGAACTTGAATCATGGTAAATGAAGCATGAACTAGAAATGGATCCAGAGTCCAAGATTTGATTGGTACTTGGTTAGGCATCTTCATTTTTTGTAGCTCCTATACAAAGCGTCACAACAGTGTGATTAAAGATACTATGAGAAACACTGTCTTTATGAGGAACTGGCTTACCTCTGTCAATATGCTTACCACAGTCAGGGAAGGAATCAAGAATTTGGGCATGATGCATTTTATTTATATGATGAGGCACCCACTTTAAGAAAAAGAACACCGAATTTCAAATGCAAAAATAAAGCACAAGGCCCTGAGTTCTATTTCATGTACCAAAAAAAAAAAAAGCAAAACCAAAACCTGTGAAAAAGAATGTCTACATAGAGCAACAAAGGAATCATAAGAAAGCATAAATTTTGAAAGGTTGCAAGCATCATAAACATCACAGAATTTGAACATCCTCAATATTTATGTTAATGAAGCCGTGACACATTGCATCATCCATTTCTCTGTAGTGTCTTAGATTGATTCTTCATTTATCTCTCTGATGAGAATTACTTCATTGCACAATATTTTCTATGGCAGATGCAAGGGTAGTTTTTGTTATTATTTAGGAAAAAACTTCAGCTTTACAACTTGTTATTGGTAATGGGGGCAATAATTGCATACTTTATTCTCAAACTTCAGAAAACCTTGATCAAGTCTCCTGTTTCTGAATGACAACCAGTGAGGTTCGTAAAATGCGCTGTTGAGCACTTCCCAGAGTCTTTATGGAGGTCTGTCCAGTAAGAGGACCCTGAAGCATAAAGCACATAGCCTGGGGTTAATCTGGTTTGCAACATAATATATAATATGCGTCCATTTCCTTGTCTGTTTTTAGTCTTTTGCCTTTTACAGTCATTTTTGTCAGTGGAGATGTGGATGAAATCTATGGACGTTATCTTCAGCATATAAAAAGAATGTACTAACTAATGTACTAACCTAATGTACCACCTAATGTACTAACCTAATGTACTAATGTACCACCTAATGTACTAACAATAAAGTATTGAATACACTATTACAGGCCCCTAGAGCTTATTGTAGTTCCAGTTCCAAGCTTCTGCACCGAACCAGTAGTAACGTTCTGTGTTTGGGTTTTCTTTCCCTAGCAGCTGGCACAGCATCCTGTACTTCCTTTGTTCTAAACAGGTAGGTGCTTTTGTAGTGATGAAGGAAAGAAATGAACGGGTGTTGCCAGACAGACTGTATCCCAGGTACAAAACTTCCCCATTTTCAAACACTGGCAGTAAATATATTTGAGCAAACACTGGGAGCCTCCCCTGGCAATTCTAAAATAGCAGGTACTGACTGTGTGTAAAGGAGAGATGCCATATGGCATTTAAACTTGTGTGTCTGGTTGATTTCACTCAGTGATAGATTTTCCAGGTGCATCCATTTGCCTACAAATGTCTCAAATTTGTCTTTTTATACCCAAATATTATTCCATTATGTATAGATACCACATTTTTCTTTATTCAGTCGCCTCTTGGTGGGTATATGGGCTGCTTCCAGGATTTAGCTTTGAATTGTGGTGCTATAAACATCGGTATGCAAGTTTCACTGTAGTCTGATGTCTTAAACTCTGAGAAAGATGCTTACACAGGGCATATCTAGGTGATATTGTGCATGGGGAGGGGTTCAACAGACTAAGGGCAAGGGCGAGGGAAAGGGGAAAATAAGGAGAAGAAAGATATGCCATGTATGTCGACTTATTAACCTCAATGAATATAAACATTATATCCTTAAACATGAGCTGAGCTTAATAATATCAGCAAGACTGAAAATAGGGAAAGGGGAATTACAGGAGAAGGGAGGGAGGAGGATAAAAATAGCCAGAAATAAGTTGTACTGTGCACCTGTACCTACTCCCCAAGAGGACCGTAAACTGCATGCACTGCAGACACGTACTGAAACGAATAAAATGAAACGAAATGAGATGAAATGAAAGGAACTAGCAGGCGCTCTGATGTCTTTATTGTACTAAGACAAAGTTTCTTCTCCCTGAGTTTTTGAGCAGCACAGATTCTCATTTCCCTTCTGAAGACATTGCCCTTTCTCTTCGATAGCTTCCTACTAGAACAACATTGTCCTTCCAATATACTTACAGGACATCAGATTTTATGAATTTGTTTCCTGTTCTAATAATTATAATCAAACAGGAATATACGTACTTCACTTCTTCCCTCTATTTTCCCTATTTTTCTTTGTACACAGAACTCTGCAATGTGTTTTATTTAGTTTAGTTTAGCTTAGTTTAGCTTAGTTTTTTTTGTACCAGAAATTGAATTCAGGACCTTGTGCTTGCCTGGCAGGTGCTTGTACAGCTGAGCTGTATCCCCAGGCCTGCAAGATGTTTTAGAAGACACCAAAAAGAGTATATATGATCGTCGCTCTGATCAAGGACCTTGCAGTACAATAAAGTTGTGGATAAAGGAAAATAGAATAAGGAGACACCAAATATGGAGAAAACTAATGGAAAGCATGATATTATGCAAATTGACATGAGACCAGTGGTTACTTTTGATGTCTCGAGTTTGGACAAGAGAAACCCTTTCAATAGTTGTCCACGGACCACAGGCATAGAGCAATGCTGTGCCATACAAAGTCAGCCTATTCCTGAGGCTCTCTATTTGGTCCACCCTTAAAGATGGAGATAATTGTAAAAGTACCCATGTTCCAGTTTCAAATATTATCAAATAAAGCCTCATTTACCTTATCTCTGCCCTCCAGCATGGCTACCTCCATTGATTGAAAGCAAATCCAAACAACTTTCTTGACTTCCTCACTTTTTAATCACTCCATTCTTTTTCTTGCCTGATTTCCTTATTCAGTTCTACCACTTGTCTCACTTTTCTTTTTATTTTCACTTCTAGCATGTTAGCAGTGATGGTCCCACTCTGCCAGGATGCAGGTCCATAACCGTCAGCCCTGCACTCTCAGCACCACAGGGGAAGGAGCAGGACAAGTAGTGCCTCATGCTCTGTCCTTTTCTGCATGGGACAGTCAGCTCCATCATGGGGGCTGTGGAGGACGGAGCATCCATGCAAGTTGCTCTTCTGTGGCTCTGGCTTGAGGCATCTCTGTCCTCTTTCAGCTTCTCCCAGCATGGCCCCACCCAACGCTTCAGTTCTCCAGAAGTGGTGACTCCCTTGAAAGTGACCAGCAGGAGCAGAGGTGCAAGGACTCCAGGATGGCTCTCCTATAGCCTGTTATTTGGGGGCCAGAGACACGTTATTCACATGAGGGTCAAGAAGCTGTTGGTTTCCACACACCTCCCTGTACTCACCTACACAGACCAGCGTGCCCTCTTGGAAGATCACCTCTTCATCCCTGCTGACTGTTACTATCATGGTTATGTGGAAGGGGCCCCCAAGTCTCTGGTTGTTTTCAGTACCTGTTTGGGGGGCTTACGGGGAGTGTTACAAATAAATGACCTCGTGTATGAAATTGAACCCATCAGACACTCTACTGCATTTGAACATCTGGTTTATAGGTTAAACAGTAATGAGACACAATTCCCACCCATGAAGTGTGGTTTAACAGAGAAGAGTGTACGCCAGCACTTGAAATTTGAAGTGGGTGAGAACTCAGTTCGGAAACACAGTTCTGCTGGTGACTGGTGGATCCACTTGTGGTTTTTGGAGCTGGTTATAGTGATAGACCATGATTTCTTCATTTACTCCCAAAGCAACTTGTCAAAACTTCAAGAGGATGTATTTCTTGTTGTTAATATAGTGGATTCCATGTATCATCAGTTGGGTACTTATGTCACTTTGATTGGGATTGAGATTTGGAATCAAGGAAACATTTTCCAGATGACAAACATAGAACAGATTTTGGAAAATTTCTCTCAGTGGAAAAAAATCAGTCTTTCCCAGCTACAGCATGATGCTGCACACATTTTCATAAAAAGTTCACATATCAACATACTTGGTCTAGCCTATGTTGCAGGAATATGTCGTTCTCCAATTGACTGTGGAGTCTGTAACTTCCAGGGAGATCCCTGGCCTGTCTTTGCTAACACTGTGGCCCACGAGTTAGGTCATATTTTGGGTATGGTGCATGATAAGGAATACTGTTCATGTGGCGAACGTGGTTGTATTATGAGCACTTTCCGAATACCAGAAGCGCAGAGATTCACCAACTGCAGCTATGTCGATTTTATGAAAACCGTTTTAAACCAAGGATCATGCCTGAGCAATTTTCCGAGACCAGCAAAAGTCTTTCTGCTCAAGCGCTGTGGGAATGGTGTGGTTGAAAGCGAAGAGGAGTGTGACTGTGGAGAGACACAGCAGTGTGAACACGATCCCTGTTGTTCGCTGAACTGTACTCTGAGGCCTGGAGCTGCTTGTGCTTTTGGACTGTGTTGCAAAGACTGCAAATTCGTGCAATCAGGGGCACTGTGTAGACAACAGGTCAATGAATGTGACCTTCCAGAATGGTGTAATGGGACATCCCACCAGTGCCCACAAGATGCATATGTGCAGGACGGAGTTCCCTGTGGTGAAAATGCCCACTGCTATCAAAAACAATGTAATAACCACGACCAACAGTGCAGGGAGATTTTTGGCCAAAGGGCAAAGAGTGCATCTCAGAATTGTTATAGAGAAATCAACTCTCAGGGAAACAGTTTTGGCCACTGCGGTGTCAACGGCACAGTCTACCTGAAATGTAATATGCCTGACGTCTTTTGTGGGAGGGTTCAGTGTGAAAGAGTGGAAGATATGCCACAACTCCAAGATCATTCAGTTTTGCAAAGCACTCGTGTCAGTGGTGTCACGTGCTGGAGCATCGGCCATCACTTAGGACTGAGCGTATCTGACGTTGGTGAAGTGAAAGACGGCACCACCTGCGGAGCAGGAAAGATCTGCATTCACAAGAAGTGTGTCAGTCTTTCGGTCCTGTCACAAGATTGCCTTCCCGAGACCTGCAATATGAAGGGGACCTGCAATAACAAACATCACTGCCACTGTGCCTACGGGTGGTCCCCACCCGACTGCCTGAACAGAGGCTACGGAGGCAGCATTGACAGCGGCCCAGCATCTACAACCAAAATAGTTTTCCTGAAGCTAGTTGTGATTCTTTTTTTGTCTGCTTTGATTTGTCTCTCAACTGTTGGGCTTTATATGTATCGTCGAATACGTTCTGGTCCCAAGGAGACTGAGGCTCACTCACTCACTGAGGCTCACTCAGATTAAGGAAATGTCTCTCACTGAAAATCCTACGCATGATTTAGGTTTATTTCCTGGGCAGTAGAAATGTTAGCACGTGCCCCAAACTGAGCACATCTGTGACAGTTTACAGAAAGACATAGGGATCTTTCCTTCTGCAGGGATCAGAAACTTTGTCATTAGGTACAGGTAATTCTTAACATGTTCCTACCTACTGTTCATTATCTGAAGCAGCAAATAAAGCTGTGTTTCCTCCCTCAACAACTCAATTTAGTCTTTTGGTGTTTCTTGGGCAGACTTATGACTCATAGAAAGGCAGGAGACAGACCTCAGAGTGTCCAAAGCTGAGTCTTTCTCTCTACTGCCACTGAGTGATTTGGGGAAATCACTTAAACGTTCTCACATTCTGTTTCAAAACGGGAAAAGAAAGGTCTTCCTGTCTACTGCCATTTGGTAATTTCAGGAAACAATTAACTTTTTGACCTTCTGTTTCAAAATCTGAAAAGAAAGGAAGGGCGGTATTTGTCTCAGTCAACTTCTTGGGTTTACCTGGTTTACAACAAAGACAATGAGCTGTTTTTGAGTATAAACAGCTGTAGTTTGCTTAATGAACCCTTTTGACCTGTCCCCGGGAGTTTCCTACCCAGGCTTGTTTGTTTTAATGTTTTAAACTAATCTGACCACACAAGGTATTTGCTTTGAAGAGCAAAATATAACCTCCATGAGGGCAGGAGAGTCTTTTATCTGCTTTGCTCACTACTTTATCCCCAGTACCTGGAACTGTGACTAATACAGAATCATTATTTGAATGAAGTCATGGACTTGGTGTACTAAATGAATAGAGTATTAAATTAAGAAAAGTAAAATAATACTTCGGCTTCCAGGAGGACATCGATCCGGTCATCTTTTAAATGCAGCTGTTTGTGTCTGATGCACTTTGTTGGTCTTTATATACTCAGTGGTCTCCTCCTCCTCAGTTTGACCTGAGCACTTTTGAAAGACTGCCTCCTGAGAACAGATCTAGTCAGATATCCTTTGTATTACACCGGTAATTTCTCAATGGTATTCAGTAAATTTAGTCGCACGACCTTCTGGGATGATTTTCTATTATGCTTTGCTTTGTAAACTTTGCATCCTCTGGCTGCTTTCTGATTACAACATATTTGGCTGTGTTATCCTCTGCACATCTACCTGTGCGTGCAATTTCTCCTCCCAAATGTTGTTTATCACCCTCCTCCATTCTTTTTCCTTAGAAAATTCCAAGTCTTCTCTTAGTAGAAGCTAAATGACACATCTTTGGAAAATCATCTCTGTCACTCTCTTTATTAGCACATATTAGTTATTAGGGTGGTGGGCTTTATTTTGGCATACTTTACACACATATACTATATTTTGACCTTCCCCCATCTTTATTCTCTATTACCCTTTTCCTCTCCCTCTTTCCTTAAATCATCCTAGTTTTTTCTAATATGCTCCCTTCGGCATTCATGTTCACATTCTCTCTCTTTCTCTCTCTCTCTCTCTCTCTCTCTCTCTCTCTCTCTCTCTCTCTCTCTCTTCAGCTCCATATAAGTTCGTTTATGAATACAAATGAAAGAGTACATGCAATATTTGACTTTGTGTCTGACTGGTCATCCTTAATATGTTCCATTTATTTTCATGCAACTGACATTATTTCATTTTTCAGAAAAGTATTTTTGTATGAAATGTTAGGTGTCTGACATATGGAATTCTGTGATCTGTGGTCCCTCATTTATGGTTTGATGTATTCCAGGAAAAGACGATGAGAGGACCTAAAAATGTACCAGCTAGAGACAGATGAAACAACCAAGATGCAGCTGTGTAATTACTCCTGTTGTGTATTTACTTTGCATTGGTTGGGTTAATTCAGGCTGCATAGAACAATTCAATTTTATCAAGACTGTTGAGTAGAATTAGCCTCCTTATAACAAACACAGAATCATACCCACTCTTTTAATTTGGCTTCCCCCTAAAGCAGACTCAGAGAAAGAATTTAGGTAGAGTAAGTTTGCCAGGTGTGACTGAGATGTACAGCGAAGTTTTTAATGAAATTTATTCAAGTAGAAGACACAGTGCTATAATCCCCCTTGCTTCAAACACACTTATTCCATTCTTCCTGCCACTTTCTGAAGGGGTTCTGCAAGTCCTCTTGTGTGACTATCTTTAAGGGGCAAGATTCCTACACATACAATACACACACACACACACACACATGCGCATGCGCGTGCAAGAAATGCTGCTACTGAGTACCATCCAACACAAAGGCAGACTCCTAAAAAGGTTAAAGTATGTCTTCACCCACCTTATTTGTAAACTCTGGCACCTTGTTACTGCTGGCTTTTCCTCAAAGTCCAAATGATAATGAAAGGTAAACGATTTGAATTGATTAGGGACATCAAGGTAGCCATGACAGCACAACTGACAACACCTTCAAACACTTCCAGAAAGTGACTGGTAGACATCCAGAATCCTAAAAAGGGCTCTAGTCAGGACGCACACTTCTTTCTTCTTCTTCAGACCCCAAGAGAAACTTCCTACTCCCTTTTGCACACGCACCAACTAACTCCCAGGGCCCTCGAGATATGACACATCCCTGCCCATATTAACTCCACCTCTAGTCCAATCTAATAAAAACCCATTCCCCAGCTCCCTCCTCTGAGCATCCTTACAATCGCCTGCAACCCTCCCAGGCTGGCAATAAAGGCTTGATTTATCTACCTCCGCCTTTCGCTCTATTTGGTGCTAAATCTAACAGGGTCAAGAATGATAAGTGTGTTTGAAATGAGGGGAAATATTCGAGGGGCAATTAATGGCAATGTGTCTTTTACTGTAATACATTTAAAAATGTTTTTTGAATATTCATTGTGTTTTTCAATCAGACCTCTCAGGCTGGGGATCTAGCTCAGTGGCACAGCACCTGCCTGGCAAGCCCAAGGTCCTGAGTTCGATTCCCAGTACCAAAAAAAAAGTTCAATCAGACTTCTCACTGAAAGGTAAGCACAAAAAAGGTAAGCTAGTGAACAATTTTCTTCTGTGAGCAACTGTGGACTCCCTGGGAGGTCTCAGGTGATGGGACACTCCGTGAAATACTACTCTCGGTTCTGGAGAAAGACGCGGCAGAGAAGACACGAGACACACGCATTTGAGGTGAAAAGTTTTCGAGCATGGGAATGTCCACCCTGGTGGCAGATGATCTCTGGTGAGACAAGGGATGTAGAGGGAGCCGTCAGCCTCTGTTGGACTATGGTTCCCCAGGAGCTGGAGCAGGGAACTAAACCCACATGCTTTACCTGGGAAGTGCAATGCAGCGGACGTGAGTAGATGTAAAGGTATTTGAAGTTGTACAGAATAACAGAGCAGATGCTACCGGTGCCCATCCCTATTCTCCTGGGCTCAACATTGAGACCGTCTGTAGTGCTGGTGACAATTCCAGTGCACGTGAAAAGTTGTCTTCTTTATAAGAAAGTGTTTGGGCCATTCAAGGAACAGGCCAGAAGCAAGAGTGAGTTAATGTATCTGGAAGCACCCCTCACCAGAAGAGGTGCTCAGTGATTGAATGTCGGCTTCCTCAGTCCTCCTGGGACAGTACTTAGGTGCTCAGCATTGTTTATCAGTGTCTTCAGGAGAGTTATGTCCTGCTGGCCTGCAAGGTCACTGCGCATTAAGGCATGCTTCAGTATTTTTTTAAACCTCTCCTGTCTCGGTTTTCCATGCACTCACCATGTACTCGGTATTGCGATAACATCCCAGACTCCACACTCAAACCCCTGTCCCAGTATCTCTGTTCACTTTTGTACCGGGAGTGTTCCCTACATGGCAAAGCCATAAGCAGGCGCGATTCTTGAACAGGATCAGTTACCTGTCAGTTTGCAATGATGACTAATCATAAAAACATGTAGAGTTTGAAAACTGGTGTACAGGAGAGTCATAAACTAAAATCTTGGTTTGTGGTGTATTGGGATAGGGGAAAGATGGAAGCAGTACCCCTGCTTATGCAATAGTTTTAGTACTGGTATTGAAAATACAATATTATTTTACAGGTGAATAAGCTATGAAAAAAGAGTTGTAGTTTCAGGTGAGATCAATATCAAGTTTGAGCAAAGTGTGACAGTCTTAAGACTTCTATGACAACGATTAAAGAGAATCTCATCTTAGCATCAGAGGGGAAAAGAAAAAAACATAGGACAGGCTGTGCTGAAAATGATAGTCTAGACTTATCATACAGTATTATGGTGATTAAATTTAGTTCTCTGGTATATTTTGAATGTAAAATTAGACACTCTGGCTTGTAGTGAGGGCTTACAAGGGAAATGATTTATTATAAGACACATAATTTATAGGATTGCTTTATAATAATCACCCAAAGAGCCAAATGGAAAGAGTGCAGGAGATCTGTCCACACACTAGAGACTCAAAGAATCCAGCTGAGGGCCTGGATCCCATGGTAATGTGCTACACGGGTCCAACTGGAGGCCTATCGCCAACGACAATGTCTCATGCCAGTCTGAACCAAGAGTCTTCCCTGGGAAGGCCCAAAGGTCAGTGGTGGAAGCCAAAAAGACTGCACCAGTGGGATGAAGGATCTGTGCCAACAGGCTGAGGAATTTGCACTGGAGACAGGAAGTAATGCTCAAGGTAAGGACCAAAGCTCCACTGAAAAAGTATATAGCCATCTTCAGTGACAGCAAGGACCAGAGCTTCTATGATGATAACAGCCTTGTTCATATCAGGAAAGCCAGTGCAACCAGCTTCTCCAGAAGATTCAACAGCACACCATCTTCCCCTCCAGTTCTCTTCTTATGCTCTTGGCAACAACCCTCAGGTGGGCCTTCCACACCCAGCACCACACTGATTCAGTTCAGCTGGGTGTTACAAGTGCCCATTAATTAATCCACCGCACCCTGTTAGGGAGAAAGTGCCCCGCTGAGAACGTGTGTGGTGGCAGCTGAGAGGGTGCATGTGAAAACTTGGAATCTGACATTTTCATGAACATGCTGGCTAGCAAAATGTTACTCCTGGTTCTTTGGTAGAAGATAGCAGCCTTTTATTTCCTACAGATTCTGTTTTCCAAGGATTTTGTTTGTCCTCTGGAAGATCTCTTCTTACCACTCCTCTTTTCTCTAAAATGATGGCTTGAGGGCCAGGGATATAGCTCAGTGGCACAAGTGCCTACCTGGTAAGTGCAAGGCCCTGAGTTTGATTCCTGGTACCAAAAAAAAAAAAAAAAAAAGAGAGAAGAG